TTGCTACTGTTATGAATTGTAATGTAAATACCTGATATGCAGGATGTATTTTCATTGTTACAAATTGAACATTTATTAAAGCATAGTGATTAATCACAAAAACAATATGTAATTATATATGTGTTTTCCGATGGGCGACCCCTGTGAAAGGGTCGTTCGACCCCCAAAGGGGTCTCGACCCACAGGTTGAGAACCGCTGGCTTAGGGTATTGGGCAGGTGTGGATTGGTGGTTCAATGTATAGTCCATATAAGGTACATGGTGTCACTCAGGTATTTCCCGGCTGCAGGTTATGTCATACTCAGCCCACCAGTTGGGGGAAGGGAGGATCTATCACCTACAACACAGACTTTACACCATTTTGCAAATAAGGAAGCGGAGACTCCGAGGCTCACCAACCTGTCCTGGATCACGCGGCTCGGAAATGATGGCGGCACGTCTCTGCTTCCACTAAACACAAACCTCCACAGACACAACCGGACTGAAGGGTAAACATCCCACTCACCTTCGCAGCCGGCACTGCCGCCCCCGGCCTGGCTCTCCGGTGCTGTAACGGAGAACGGCGAAGGAACGGGCTTACTCTGGGTAATGTCTTTGCCAAATAAACTGGAGTTTCCAGAAGGAAATGAAAACCCAGCCAGGGGGCCAGAGTTTAAGGAGCCCAAAACAGAACCATCAATTTTCTTGCCGAAATTAAACGAGGCACTTGTCGCTCCCAGTGACGGGTCCCCCTTTTTCTCAGGCACAGCCTCTGTCTTCTTTTCAGAGGTGCCCTCAGTTTTATCCCCATGAAACAAAAATGTTGACTCTTGCTGTGACTTTGTTGAACCAAATAGGGAGGGAGACTGTGAGTCGAGTGACGTTTTGCTAGGTTTCCTTTCAGAGCCGCTGCTTCCGCTGTCACCAAGCTGCTGCTCAATGCCCGCTAAGTAGTTCTCATAGTCCTTAAAGACAGGCGTCAGGTCGCACAGCGGGTTCGCGTTCACATGCTTCACGATCCAGTCCCGCACACAACAGTTCAAGGCCGCCAGCTGCTTGTGGTAGGCGTTCCCTTGGTGAGTGGTGCTCGAGGAAAGACCAGAGGACTGACTGTCACCATTCCTTTTGGGGTTTGAAATCTTATTATCAACCAAGGAGGCGGGGCCATTTGCAGCAACAGATCCTAAGGGAAAGTCAAGCTTTAAGATTTACTAAGAAGGCGATTTGTCTAAATCATCTAGATTTCTGTATCGCTCTTCGCATTTTCTGCCTTTATTGCATCCCATTTTTGTGACAGTTCAAGTATGTGCACATCTAACATTTAGGATCTGGTTACCACAAAAATCAAATCAAACTCTACACAGGAACAGTACCTATTATATGCTCGCATCAGTAATTTTAAAATAATCTTTTCCTTCAAAAAGATGCCCATTTTACCCAGAACTGTCAAAATACCCTGAGTACAAAACTTAATCCCCAAAACAATCCAACGAGTGGGGCTCTTTTCCAAGAACTCAAGATTTTCATCCATGATCTTATTCTCTATTGCTAATCCCGAGATCTTGACTAATTCCCTCAAAACAAGATCAGGCAACCAACACATCCTAAATCTAGAGGGGAGGACCCCCAAGTTTCGGGAAGGTGTGTGCCATACACACAGTCTTCGGTACACGTATTAACGAAGGCCTGGGGAGACAGGCCTTTACAGAGGCCCACTAAGAGCTTCCTCTCCTCCTTTGACCCTTAGGTCAGTTCTCATCACTCATTCTCATTTCACAAAGATCTGGAGGCTCAGAGGTTCAGGAACTTCACCAAGGGCACAGAGCTGAAAACAGAACCTAGTTCTATTTTGGCTCAAAAGCTCATTCTCTACTCAGAACGCAAATAGCCAACATTTCCCTCATTTCTGTGTGTTTCATTACGACTGTTCTTGCTCAGGTAGTTCCAGGACCCAGGGTAAGTACAAGAAAAACATCTCTGCGAAGTGATTTTCATGGTTATCTTTACACAGATGTGAGTGAGTGAGCGGGGGACCTACTTACCAAAGGCCACCTTGGTCTCGGTGGCAGCTCTCGCACTGGAGAAGGGCGGGGCACCTGCCATGCTGTTTCCATTGGACAGTCCTTCCAAAGGCTTCCCTCCAACACAAGCACCGAATCCAGAAAAGCCTCCTCCTCCAGAAGGTGCCACCAGCCCTTTAAAGCCTTTGAAGGCCCCGCCACCATCAGACTGAAATAGAAAGAAAGAGCAGAGATAACTGTAATTGTTATAACCGGTAGGCGAGTGAGGGGCAGTATTACCTTGGCTAAATCATGCAACCTCCATCCACTACAGGAAAACTGCTGGCAAGAGCAGAAACAGGACAGGAGCGATTTTACTCATGACAGCTGTGCAAACCAGAGCTCCGTCCTCCTCATGAGCTCTTCTCACCCCCGCGGCGTCAGCCTCCGGACGGCTGATTCCTCCTGCCTCTCCCTCTCGCTCCACTCCTGCTCCGAGAAGCCACCAGTCTACTAGTGGCTTGTAGAGCTCTCCACACCACCCTTAAGGCCATTTCCAAAACGAACACCATCATTTCCTTCCTAGTGAGGTTGGCCCTTTCCCCATCAACCATCACCTCGCTGATCGCCTACAGCCAACTAAACACCAGTCTAAAGAAGGAGAGGAAACGAGGAAAGAACGTGGACCGAACAGGCCGCAGAGGCACAGCTTCTCCTGCAGCTGCCACCGGAGTGTTCGAACCGTCCCCCTGCCTGACCCAGAGGCCCAGGCCTGGAATGCATGAGGGCTGAGCACAGTCCCGGGGAAAAGGTGGAGTGACTGCTGAACCCTGACCACGTGATTGCAGTTTCTGAGCTACATACAGCTCCTCCTTGATCTTCCGAGCACAGGAAGGAAGCATTTTAATGCGAGACACAGTGGACACGGGAAAGGCTGTTGCGGTTAAAGGACTCCTCCAACCCACACCTCGACCCCAGGCAGTAGGGAGACTGAGAATTCCTTCTTTTCCTTCCTCACTGCTACTGACACACACTTCTCTGGTCTTCCGTGTTGCTGTCCTCATTTCCTCCTCCACACTGGCACTCAACTCTATTTTCTCTGCATCTGTATCGCTTCCGCAGCTGGGAGCTCCCTGTAAGCACACCCGCCCTGTGCTCAATGTTCTGTATGTTCTACACCAGCGGTCGCCAACCGGTGGCCCATGAGGGCCGAAAGGCTGGCGACCACTGTTCTACACCAAGCGCTTTCCCAAGTGGAGAAAGCACTTTAATGAGCACTGACCGATCTGACTGCCCCCCGCCCCCACCCCCTACCCCATAGAAAGCTGTAGAAAACACTCACTTCACATCCAACATTTCTACGCTTTGCTTTCTTTATGGCTCTGTTCTTCAAGACTTCGTCACTGGCCACTGAGAATGTGCCCACCTGCAGGAGCGCACAAATTAAACAGCAGTAAGATAAGGCCAAAATGGAGATAAAATGCTGAATGAAAAAGCTAGACCAGGCAAACTCATCTATTATCTGCTAGTTTTCAAAGTACTGTTAATCCTCGTAATACAAATTATAGAGAGGGCACATTAAAATTCATATCCGTGCTCTCTCTTGGTGAATTCCAATGCTAGTCAGGTGAACCACCAGTCTTCTGGAGCCTACAAATCCGAGATTGGAATCAGAGAGAGAGGAGTGCGTGCACGAAAGTCTGACAAGGCTAAGGCCACCAAAACTATGGTGCAAAACTACTTAGCACAGCTTTCAAATATTTCAAAGGTATTAATCAAACTTAAGCTGGAAGATACCTTAAAGATCATGAACCGCTGGGAGTGGAACCAGTTCTGAAACCCAGGTGCCCAAATCTAGTCTCTCACTACTACCGTTTTCAAAAGTAAAACTGTATTTATGAAACACATACTTCTTCCTTTGACAAAGAGCTCTGCCCATCTGCCCTTCATCCAGAGACCACGGAGCACTGGGACTCTGGGTGACTGCTGCTGACCCCCAAGCACTAGGCCCACAGCGAGGAGCGTGCCGAGGCCGGCTTGGCCATGCCCGCTGTTCCCCGTACGGCTGGCGGCAGTATTCCCTGTAAAAACCTCCGTCCCCAGCTATTCAGGAAATGTCAAAGAGATCTCTGCAGCCACAGAAGGGATCATTTAGTTGCATTTGCCCAAATGTAACTGTCTTTCCACATTCATTCATTAGCAACTATCCAAACGGGAGTTCTTTCATTCCTGAAGTATTTTAATGTCAAAGCAATCTTTATATGGTAGTCTAAATCTTACTGGGCTCAGAATGTAGCTGTCTGTAAGACTTGGGAAAAAATGCAGTTACCCAAGTCTTGGCAAAAAAGCATGACGGCAGCTAGAAATGTTAAAAGCCTTGTTAAAATATTAACATGCTTGTGATTTTGACTTTCCTAACCATATTGGTGCAAACATTTGTAAAGGAAAAATATTGATACTAGGATATAGACTCAGAAAGAAGATAGTCATTTATAATAATAAAAGGGTAATATGCTAACTAGACCTACGTCATTCCGGACGTCATTCTGCATGCCCTTCCTAACAAAGCTGGGGACGGAGGGAAGCCAGCTGGGTCCCGGGTGACTGGGGGCGGCCCAAGGGAAGCCAGCCCGGGCCCGGGTGCCGGAGGGAAGCTGGTGCCAGCAGCTGAGGGAAGAAAGGTGTACTCTTGCACCAATTTTCGTGCATCGGGCCTCCAGTCTAAGAATAAGCTTGAAGACACTTGCAGATTCTTTATTTTATTTTATTTTACTTGACACTATCCTCTTAGCTTGGGTGCAGGCTTCCTCGGTGAACCGGCCTGGGTGTCCCACACTGCTGATGAAGCACCCAAAAAACGAAAAGATTTCCTCAGGGAAGGCCATTCTGATTTTGTTAGGAAAGAAACTAGGCCAATATAAACTCTATTTCCATTAATGCCATTGTTGGGGGGAGGGGGGGAGCATCTCAGATCTGTAAGAATGAGAAATGAAGCTGGGCTCTGAGAAGATTAGAGTGAGGGAGGGAAACTCAACCATCTGAATCTAAAACGACAGGGATGGCAGACCAAGATGGTGGTGGTGTACACTTGTCAAGTCTGAGCGTGGCACTGCGCTAAGTTCGTGACTCGATCATGTACTCATCCTTCAGCTGTGATTAAAACCACGGGCTCAGAATGCTGCAAGTGTATGAGATTCAGGAGGAAGGTGCTTCTACAAGGGAGCCCAATATTCAGGAACTAGGTGCTGGTGGAAAGGCACACCCAAATGTAAATAAATGTCTCTATCAAGTACAGGTCACTAGAAACCACACTGTTTCCCGTGCAGGATGGTCTTAAAAAGCCTTTTCATTTTACCAGTCTTCATGAGGAACCCAGTTTAAATTGAGAAGCAGTACGAAATCACTCTTAGGAAAACTACTTTTTACCTCTTCGGCTTCGTCTTCTTGATCCCAATTCCTATCTGTCAGTTCCTTCTCAGCAATTCTTTTGGCCATTTTCCCGAAGCTAAAAGTAAAAAGATTAGAAGATTTGCTTTTCTAGACCAAGAGTTCACGCTTACAAAGAATTTTCAAAATTCACTCTAGCATGAAATGAGACAGGAAACATTCCCCTGGGAACGGCTTTAACGGGACTTTACAAAGGTGTTCTTAGGTTCCCACTGTTTCAAATCCAATATAGGATTACTCGAGGAAGCAGGGTAGGTCTTCTGAACACTAAACCAACTCTATTTGAAAGGAAGTTATATGCAACCTCAACTGATTGTTTAAAACTGAAATTTTAAGCACTACACATAATCAAGAAGTGCTTAACTAACTTATTCTATGCAAATTATACTTACAGCCTTGCTACAGACAAAACATTTTAAATTTAAAATTCTCTTCAAGATGATCCAGTGAAGTTCATGCTTAGGTAGGAATTTTAATAAGATGCTGGTTATAGCCGAAACCGGTTTGGCTCAGTGGATAGAGCGTCAGCCTGCGGACTGAAAGGTCCCAGGTTCGATTCCGGTCAAGGGCATGTACCTTGGTTGTGGGCATATCCCCAGTAGGAGATGTGCAGGAGGCAGCTGATCGATGTTCCTCTCTCATCGATGTTTCTAACTCTCTATCTTTCTCCCTTCCTCTCTGTAAAAAATCAATAAAATATATTTTAAAAAAAAAAGATGTTGGTTATAAGTTCATAGCATAAGTCCTCTTGTTTAGGCTACAGACATTGGTATAAATACATTTCCCAAGATTGAACATTTAATTACCCCAAATTACACATTGCTAAAATAGGACATCATTTAAAAGCTCAAACTGTAATTAATATGGATGTGTTAACATTCTGAGAATTTATAACCCTTTCAAAGTAAGCCATGAGCTCAGTTCCTATGACACCATTGCGGGTGGGGCAGGGCAGGGTGCGAGGCGGGGACTGACAATGTTATCGCCAAAGAGGGTTGCTGGCACCTGTCCCTTTGTCATTTGTTTTTGATCCTACATCGAATCCTCTGCCATCAGAAACAAAAACCATCAATGGAGAGCTCCACTGTGAATGGCATAACTCACCAGCCCAAGGGGCCAAGAAACCCTCGCCCGGGAACTTACCATTTGCTGAGGGCTCCTGAACCTGCCCACAGCCTTTCTGACAGTCTTTCTCCACCCTGGTTTACCCTCAATACCACAACCCCCGAGTAAGTTCCTAGAAGTTCATGTTCACTAGGATACAAACTTATGCATCACCTACTGCTCTTTAATGCCTATAAAGTAAACATCACTTGCTGACATTCCAAAGTCCTCCAAAATCCACCCCCGTAATTACATAGGGGGTTTTCAGCTTCGAATAACATCCTAATAATGTTTGAATCCCCTTTTGAATGTCTCCCCACAAACACTTGGTCAAGTCTGGCTACTAATTTTTGTAATCCAAACGAAAACAATGTAGCTTTACACATAATTCCTTACTGAACTTGACTGTCCAGGGCCAGGTCTCTCTGCCTGCATTCTTTTGGCCATTTTGCTGCCCAATAACTCCCACTCCCACCAGAGGGCACGAGAGGTGAGAAGTTGAAATAATCACTGTTGCTATTAAGATGAACTATTAACTGTTAATAAGATATTAAAAGGAAAAGGAGGTGGAGCTGAAAGTACAGAAACTGTAATAAAGTAAGAATTTAACCTCTAACTCATACCCACAGTGGATAATCATAAGGCGCAGCAAAACAATCTAAAAGTAGCTGCTCTCATGTCCTACCACAGCCACAGTCAGGACCCCACCAGAGGGCAGGGGGCTCTGTTCTCTGTGCTGGCTGAACGCCAAACACCCAAGCCTGCCCATCCCGACAGGTGTGCTAGCTGCTGAGCGGGTGACCGGGGACACTCCTATTTGGGAAATGCTACAGTAAGAAGCTGGAAACCCAGGTTTCCCATTTCCGTGGACAAGCTGTTTCATTTTTGTGCCTCCGTTTTTTCACATGTAGAACAGGGAGGTATGAAAACAAAGTGAGATAAAAAAAAAAAAAAACTTAGTTAAGAATAATGCCTGGAATAGAGGAAGGGCTTAATAAATACCATTAAAGAAATGTTTTGTTAGAAGCAAAGGCTATAAAATACTATTCTTCCTCCAAAACGTGAAAGTTCCTAGAAAAAGAGTATTTCCTTGAATTATGAGCCAAGCTTTAAAATACATTTTAACCAGCCCATATTCTGTTTCAAAGTATGACCCTGGAGACAGTAATTTTTCTCTTTCCGTGAGATGAGGAATACAGCATCCCTGCAGAGCCCTGGAGCGAGCGATCAGCCTAAGGACTCCAAAGCGTCTGGGCTTGAGGCGAAAAGGCCCCACATGAGGCAATGAGGCCCAGGAAGCGCTTCGATGGGAAACTGAAACCCAGCGCTACCTGGGGGACACGCGGCCTCCCGATCCGGTGCTGCCAGCCCCGGGGGGAACTCTGTCCGCATCAGTTCACCCCAAGAGGAAAACAGGCTGGACCCCACTTGGAAGGGTGGTGTCCGGAGGAAAAAGAGGACAAGCGTCAGGCCGGTGACGGGACCGCCCGCAGGAGAGGAACCGCCCTCCTCCCGCCCGCGGGTCGATGGTCACAGTGGCCCCCGGGCGCCCGGGCTGCGCTTCCATCCCGCTCAGGGCACAGCAGCAGCCACAGCTGAACGCAAAAAGGCATAAACAAGGGGGAGGGGGGCATACGTAATACTTTCGACACTAAAGATTTTTTTTTAAAAAAAGGAGACAGGCCCTAGCCAGTTTGGCTCAGTGGATAGAGCGTCAGCCTGTGGACTGAAGGGTCCCAGGTTCGATTCTGGCCAAGGGCACATGCCTGGGTTGCGGGCTCGATCCCCAGTAGGGTGTGCAGGAGGCAGCCGATCAATGCTTCTCTTATCATTGATGTTTCTATCTCTCTCTCCCTCTTCCTTCCTCTCTGAAATCAATAAAGAAATATACTTAAAAAAAAAAAAGGAGACAGGTTGGCAAAAAAAAAATAAAGTGGATAACAATCGATGTCTTTTTCTTTCTCCCTCCCTCTCTCTCTCTCGCCCTAAATATCAATTTTTAAAAAACATTAGCTGCTTCTTTAAAGAAGGAACAGAGTAAGGGGCTGATCAATGTCCCGGCACCGCGGTAAGAAGGGAAGCCAGCGCCCAGCCCAGGTCGCTCGGTGGCGGAGCGGCGACCTGCGAACCTGGAGGTCACGGTGCGATCCCGGTCAGGGCGCAGGCCTGGGCGGCGGGCTCCAGCCGATCGATTATTTATTTTTCTCACCATTTATGTTTCTAGCGCTCTCTCTCCCTCCCTTTCTGAAATCAATAAAAATATTTTTTTTTAAAAAGGGGGGGAGCTAGGCCAAAGAGATAGCGGAGGGGTGAGAAGAGACAGGCGGGACGACCGAGGGGCCAGAAGTACCGAGAGGAGCCGCTGGGAAGGAAACCGGTG